GAAGACGCAGGACTCTTCGCCGAAATTCTTTTGGTCAGCCCTGAAGAAAAATTGACCCACGAAATTGACTTCGTGAATTCGACGGGATGGTCAATATTGACATCGTACCCCAAATGATTGTGTTTGTTCCAAGCAAAATCTCAAACAAATGGGAGCGATTTTGCTATTTCACCAAGCAAAATCGCTACTAAACCATATTTCCACCAGCCAACGCACATTACCGCATTGCATCCCCTACCCGAACCTGAGAATGAAATAGAATCAGGTCAACATTTAGAGTTTTCTTTCCTAGTCGACCCAATAATCTTTTCACAAACCTAAATCTAGGTTTAACTATGTTTGTGGATCCTGATGTAAATCTAAGTAATTATGGATTAATGTGGTTGCAATGTCCAGAAACCACTCTCCCCCCCACTTAGACGGTTTTTTTACCTGCCGATGGTTTTTATTTACTTGCCCGTGTCACGTCACCTGAGCGTCTAATACAAGGCCGGGTGCGCTTCTTGTGTACAGGAGTGGTTCTAATACATCTCTGTCGTGAGCTAGTAAGGTGCAGAAATGTTATTTCAAACCATTGTAGAAGTAGTTGGGTTACCCAGAGAGTGACGCAAAGTTGTTGACTAGGAGAACTGTGGAGCGCTTAATTGAAGAAGTCAAGGGACCTTGAAGATGGGGTAATCTGGAGGACCAACCTAGTACTGCACGGCTCAACTCCAAAGGTGAGACACAGAATTGGTGGCGGCTCGGAAAGAGAGGTCAAATAGTCAGCCAGAACATCTAGTAATTTGTTCTCTCGTTTTTTTACTGACTACAGTGGATTTAAGTTAGCAATGTAAGCTACGACAGCTATGTGACTAAGCCACTCGGAAGTAGCCAGAATGTGGGCGCCTGGATCTCTCCCAAACGAGAGAAAGACCGCCACGAGTTTGCGGTGGCAGCAAACGTACACGCGGCGTGAATCTGCGCTGCCGCAACGGATTCTCTCACAGGAGCGCGGGAGGTCGCCTGCACATTCGCCAAGGACGGCGGTGTACCGCGCGGATCCGTACACCCGTCGGCGGACGTCGCGAAGGAGGTGAGCTCGATCCGCATGCAAGGACGGAGCCCAGGGCCTCACCCGTCCTGCAGCGACCCTTGGAAACTGGCAGGCAGCCAGCAAGGAGCGGGTGGAAGGCGTCGGGATGTTGCTGACGAGCTGAACTTTCCGAAGTCACCAAGCGAGGCTGACAGTGAGGAAGAAGATGAAGATACCCCAACTGCGCGGGGTGGGGAAAAGCAAGCTGAAGACGCGGATGATGAAGTTCTGCAGTGCCAACACGGAGAAGAGCTTGAGGAGCCTGATGAAGGGGCGGAAATGGATCATGTGTCTGATAATATGCAAGGGGAGGCGGCAAGGCGGAGTGGAGGCGCAAGAGCTCCTCGATCGCCAAATGGACGTCCTGACGGAGGCAAGCGGAGTCATACACCAGCGGGGGCGTATCGCTCACCGGAAAACCACGACAGGAACCTGAGAGGAGGAGGCATATGGTGATGGGAACTTGGCGACCGCCAGAGCCGTGGGATGACGAAGAGGAGGATCGATGGGAGCTGCTGGGGAATAACTGCTGCCTGGTCAGACGAAGGGAGACATTAGGACAACATGGACCCACGATCGGGTAGGAAGGGCCCGTGGGGAGATAGGAAGGACAGGAGAGTAGCAAGAGAAAGCGAGCGACTGGATAAGGACGGACGTGCGACAGGTCTTGCTGTTAGTGTTAGCCTTCAATCTCAATAATTGTACTTTTTATATCATAGCATAGTGTAGTTTCCACTTTGGGTTGGGCTGGATGTACACACCCACATCCCAACCCAACCCAAATGTGATCATATGCAATCCCCAACCCACCAATTGAAGATTGCAGCCGATCTCCCTATGATTGCCTCCAATTCCCTCTCCATCCATTCCCAGCTCATTTCCGGTGTAATTAAAGAGCCTTGCGCTATCACTTCAAGCTCAGTTCTAACACTTGCTACACGCCTAGGAGATGTAGATGATGATATTTAGACGATGCATTGGACTTGGCTTTGAATAACATGTTAAGCTGTAGCGCTTAGGGGGGGAAATGGACGGCAAAGGGTTAAAGATACGTTAGTTAGGTGCGAGTACACAGAAAATGAGCTGGCTGGGGTGAAGGCGCAATCAAACCTCGGCCATGTTCAGTTAGGACAGACGACCACATGAGGTTGGGAAGGTGTGGAAGAAGAGAGTTTTGTCAGTACAGAGGGTGGGACAAGAGAGGGCAGGCTGGAGGCAGAGGGAGACTAAGAGATGGACGGACAACAAAAAAATGTAGGGAGACTAAAATCACATGAACCCCCAAAAATAAATCCATAGCCGCATAACCTATATGTCACACGCAAGCAAGAAAACCAGGACTTTTGGGGAATGAATTGTGTATGGCAACGTGGCAGCCAAGCCAGGCTGAATACCCCACAACTCCTCTTGCTGACCGTTTCCCTCCACGGCCCAGGTTTGATGAGAACCACAAACTTAAACCGAACTCATGAACTTCTAAAGCTGAACATGAACTCATTCACCTCAAACCAAACTGCGATTCACCTTTTACTCATGCCTGCCTCTCTCCATGCTCGTCTCATCCCCCAGTCGGGTCAACAAGTGTGTGCTTGCTGTCCCTCCATCCATCCATGCCCTTTTTTCTCATCCATGCCCACTATTCTTATGTCCATGCCCCTTATGTCTCCTCACTTCTTCCGCCCCAACGCACACGACGCACACACAGGTCTCTTTCACACAACAACTTCACGGGCTCCATTCCTAACCAGATCTCCAAGATTTCTTTTGTCGATAATCTGTATGAAGCACCTCGTTCAAGCCTGGCGATAATCACGAACATGACCAAAGTCTCATAGCCTAGACAGATGTCACACGCAAGCAAGAAAGTCTCGAAGTCTCATATTAAGGAGTTTTGGGTCATTCAAACATATATGGCCATGCAATTGGCAGCCAAGAGGCTGAATACCCTGCAACCCCTCTTCCCGGCCCAGGTTCGAGGAGAACCACAAACTCGTCGAACCCATGTGTGCGACTTGAACCAGTTCGGCCAATTGGAGTCGGCACGAACTGTTTGCCTCAGACCGAACTGAAATCGAATTCTTTTTCGTGCCTGCCACCCACAAAGATCATCTCATCCCCAAATTGGCTTGACCGTTTGTACTTGTTGTCCCTCGGTCTATGCCCACTATTCTCATCTCCTCGGTGGTTGCACCCCAACCCACACCACACACGCAGGTCTTTTGCAATGAACCGTTTGACGGGCCCCATCCCCGACAGCATATCCAAGCTTGATCAGCTTTCTTTTCTGTATGAAGCACCTCATATATACCTAATGATGAGCACGGACACGATCAAAGATAACATAGATTCTAAAACTCAAAGTTACGTTATCCCGATGTCACACGCAAGAAAGAAAAACAAGGATAGGGTATTAGGAAAGTGAATGGCTAGGGATGAGCAAGATTAGGGCCGCATGCTAGCTTGGCCCTGCCTGCTTTTAGGCTGGCCGGGCCGGCTCCCTTGGGTAGACGTGAGCGATGACCTTCCACTGCCCGGCTTGTGACGAGCCAGCTCCAACCACTGTCTAAAGTGCAGGCCATTGGCCGGTTTGCCACGATGCAGGACTATGGCTAGGTCGGATCGAGGCTTGTCAGATGGGTGACGATCTGGGGAGGCTCATCTTAAGCCTGGCGGTTCGTCATGAGCTAGCTAGGGTGGCGATGGGTTCTAAAGCAGCAGTATACATTTGGCAGGGCGAGTTCCTAAATTTTATAAATGGTACATGGTGGGGCCGAAATCGTGAGGCACACTGTAAGAACCGGAACCCCAGTGTCAAATGTATGCTGCTTCAATGGAATCATGGACAGCCACATCAAATAACCCCTAAATTCTTCTCATCGGTCCCTGGACGGACCTGCATATGTAATGTGGTTGGCGCTGACATGTTGATGGACGGACCTGCCTATCTCAATGTTGATTGAAGTCAGTTACTAGAGTATTATGTTTGCAAAGGAATCACATTCTCACCCCTCAGGAAACACTAAAGGGTTGGGTTTTTTGCAACACCAACTTTAACAGACATGAAGCCGCCATACCAAAAGAATTTGTATGGTAAGTAGTAGTTGAGTACCAGCTGGTGGAAATGACGTTTGAAGCTTGCATCACTCTGGTCTTGGACAAGCCCCCCCGGCTCTTTGAGTCTGATCAGCTCGTTTACCACCGGCACACAAGCCAACGGCGGCCACCCAACTTGTGTAAGCTAAGGTCCAAGCGACGCTGTAAGGTCCAACAGAACCAGTTCCTATACCACTATCCGACCCGACCCGGTATCGGGTCACACGCAGGGTAACCGCGTCGTGTATAGACCCGACCTGATTTCGGTGAACGAAAGTGCTGACCTGCACAGATCACGGGCGAAAGCGTGGTCTGGTCAAGCTGACCCAAAGTCGGGTCAGGTAAGACCCGGCTGTGTATCCCCGGGTCGGGTCAGGGATTCTAAACCTTGCCCCTGCCTGACCCGACCCGATCCGGGACGGAAACGCGCCTGGCCTGGCCAAATTGGGTCGGCTCACGCCTAATTCTCGCCATCCTCCATCCGTCACATTTCTCTGGACCGCAGGCCGACACTCACACTGTGCCGGCCTGACCTGGGCCAACCCATGTTGACCCGTGCTAACCAGGGCTCGACCCGTGCTCATCCCTATCCTAGACCCACGTTCAACGCAATTCGGTGCATTTCAGAGTGTGTTCTTTGAACCGGTTTGGCCACTCGACTAGAATATGAACTAAACTGCGATTCGGTTATTACTCATGCCCACCTCCCCCCATGCTCGTCTCGTCCCCCAATTGATTCGACCATGTGTGCTTGCTATCCCTCAATCCATGCCCCCTATTCTCATCTCCTCACTTCTTCCGCCCCGACCCACACCACATACACACAGGAGTCTTGCAAGCAACAATTTGACGGGCTCCATTCCCAACGGCATCTCCGAGCTTTCTAAGCTCACTTATTTGTAAGAAGGAGCTCGTCGTGATGAGAAGCACGAACATTAGCAAAGACCTCATCAGCTCTTATATTCTTGGGAATAAATGCATAGCGCATAACCTAGATAATTGACGCATGCAAGAAAGCAAGCGTCAGAAGCTCTGGGTAATCAGATCAACACGTATATGACCTTGCAATTGTCAGCCAAGCCCGGCTGGATACCCCCCACAGCTCCTCTTCCTGCCTTTCCCCCTCCTCCCAGGCCTTGGTTCGACGAGAACGACAAAATTGCGGAACCGGGTGTGCGACTCAAACCAGTACGGCCAATAAAAATTAACATGAACCCGTTTTCCTCAAACCGAACAGCAACTGGTTTTATGTAACCTGGCCCGACCTCGTGTCGGCCCGACTCGAGGTCGGGTCAGGTAAAACCCCGCCCTGTACCCCCCCCCGGGTCAGTCAAATCAGTGTCTTCAACATTCTGGCCCGGGGTTGACTCGATTCGTCCCGACCCGGAAACCTGCTTGGCCCGGCCAAGTCGGGTCGGGCCGACTGCTCATGCCTACTTGACGCTGACGTAAGGTCGAGACTTTAAACGTTGATGTAGGGACGATATTTTTCTAGCAGCCTAAGTGTTTTTTACCTTAGAGAAAGTCCAATACAAAGCACAAACATGTCCTGCCTTAACTACCATAGGGTCCGCTCCACGCATTTCACTACGATATTATATATAAAAAAATGTATGCATGTTTGATGAAGATAACTCATGGTGAAATGAAATCCTTCTCTCCTGCCCAAAACCCATACATACACTCCCGTTCCCCTCCTCAACAGTCTTAGAACCCCGGGTTTTCTTGCATGTCCAGGCTTTTTTTTACCTGCCCGCTAGATCAACAAACCGGCGCCAATCTCCCCGGCCAAGGGGTGTCAAAGCGCTTTAGGTCGAGCGTTTTGACATAATGTCAAAATGCTTGACTCCTCAAAGCCATCATACGAGAAAAGCCAACTCTTCCACTCGATATTGAGTTGGTCGGGACTGAGATCGGATGGGGTTCAGTGGTAAACAGGAGGGCTTGTTTCGGCTTCGAAATTCAAAATCAAGGTTGAAATCGTAGACATGAGCACAATGGTGAACGCCTATTCGGATCGTCCAACATGTTTGGGGTGAACATATTCGTGTTCGGTTTGTCCCGCCTAGGAGAGCCACGGCGAACGGCGAACATGTTCGTGGTCGACAACGCTTTCTGACGAAAACATATGTGTTCGTTGGAAAACTCCCGGAACCTTTTTTTTTAATTCGACAAGACACACTAGTGGAGCTCATTTTTTTAGCTCGAATTCTGAATGTTTCCCCTCCTCCAGCCTAGACGACAAGCACCAGTACTAAGCATACCTTGTGTAACACGTTGTTTTGTTTGTTGTTTCATTTCCGTCACTCCCAAATGTCCACCAGGTATAACCACCCTGGACGCCAAAATCCACCACCCAGTATTATGTCACTATAACGAAGGCTGCTGATATGGCAAACACGAACATGTTTGACCCAAATGTTTGTGTCCGGCCGAACATTAAGTTGTTCGCCGGTTAAAGGCAAACCCGAACACCTCCCTTTCTGGAAGTGTTCGGGATAGAGATGAGCAAATGGCCCGACCCGACCTGGCCGGGCTACACAGGTTCCCGGGTCGGGTCGGGTCAGGCCAGGCTCGGGCCAGGTCCCTGAATGTTCTGGCCCGACCCGGGCCTACACACTCGGGTCAGCTTGGACAGGGTCACAGGTCGGGTCGGGTCAGGCCAGTCTGACCCGCCCTTTAGTGGGAGCAGGGGTGTAAAACGCGATTCCTGCATTGCGAGTTTCCGTGAACAGCAGGATACGATAGTAAACTAGTTATAGATGTCAGACAATGAGGTTTGAATGGGCCCTAACTAAGTTGTTTCTAAACTTAAATGACTTGCTTGCTCCCGTTAGGCAAGATTGAGAGCGTGGGTAGGTTCTGATGTCGAGGGGATAAAAAATCCCTCGATCACAATTTGAACTAGGGTTTCGTGCCCTCTGTGTCGAAATCGGGTCGGGTCAAAAGCCCGACACGATTCCCCTGGTCTTGACCCGAATTCGGGTCGGGTCAAGCTTGACCCGAAGCCCGACCCGAGTTCCATGCTCGGGTCGGGTTTTTTCTCGTGTCGGGTCAGGTCGGCCCATACGGGGCAGGCAAATGAAACCACTGCCCCAACCCGGGCTAAACCACGGGTCGGGTCGGGCCGGCAAATGCTCATCTCTAGTTCGGTAAAACAAAAACATGTTAAGATTGCCGAACCTGTCTGTGTTTGCCATTTTCTCATGCCTTGCCTAGCAGTGAGGGATGCAAACTTACGACAGGTATGAGTTGCTTACGAGTGCCCCTGGCTCGAATTCCTTCCAGCTTCTTACATCCCTCTCCACCCCCCTCCACCCTCCCTGCTTCTAGTGAATGCCGCTCGTTCTCCTCCGTGCTCCCGACTCAGCACACCCCCGTGGGCCGCCATGCTCGCTATTCTCATCTCTTCATCTACTCCCAACCCATAACACACAATGCACAGAAATTTCTCATCCAATTCCCTCATTGGCCCCATAGTCGTCGACTTTGTTTCCCGTAATCGCATCGCCTATCTGTAAGAATCTCTCTAGACCCATCCGTTATGTACAAAGCCAATGCTGCACCGTGCTCTCATGTGCCAGGCCTGCACATCGCTCAGCCTGCACCGCGCGCTCATGTGCCAAGCCTGCACTGCGCGCTCATGTGCCAAGCCTGCACTGCGCGCTCATGTGCCAAGCCTGCACTGCACGCTCATGTGCCAAGCCTACACCGCGCGCTCATGTGCCAAGCCTGCACCGCGCTCTCAGATCCATAATATGTGTGTGGCGCTTGAGTTATTTCCCATTCCTGTTGTACCAACCTGTTATTTTCCCAGTGCCGCAACTCAGTCCGCAACACACGCTTGTCACCCCAGTTGCTATTTCAAAGCGGTGCATCTTCTCTATACGTTGCCTCTTGATTTATTTTTCAATGTTGTTGTACCATCCTGCCATCTGTATTTCTATGATGTCTTCATCTATATTCTGGCCAGATGTTTTCATGCCTTTGGATTGCCGGGCTCCTCCATCTGAATGCATTCATCCATCTGAATCCGTCTGGCTGCACAGATGGGTGCACGCTGTCATGTGTATCGGTTGATGCACGCACGGCACTGCGTTCCTCCTCAAATAGGCTAACAGGGCTTACAACCATGCTTTCCTCCCCTGTGTCCAGAAATTACGCTGCTAATAACCTGAGTGGGTACATTCCAGCTAGTATTGAACAACAAACTGCATTGGAGTGCTTGTAAGTACGCTTGTTCATGTCCCAAACCCGAAACGAACTTGTAAGCAGTGTGAGATAGGCTGTTCTGATCACATGGTTGGACCAAATAGAACACTCTTGAAAGAGTAGCAGTGCTTTGCTGGTTTTTGCGGTGTGCAGTCAATCTCTCCATGCCCCTCCTAGCCACCATCCCCATGCCTTTCCCTTTTATTTCCACCTTCATAACCAATTAGCCTACCACGAATTCTCGGGCGAGGAAGGTGCTCCGTCGGATTGAAACTGCTTTTCGCTTGCATGCAAGGATCTACAGAGGACGAGTGACGCTCAATGGAGAAAGCGTCAGGGCACGAGGCAGGAGAAGAAATTTCGCCGCACGATGGAAGGAGAGAATAGGTTACTGTTTCGGAACAGGGACAAGAACAGCAAGTCATGGACGTGGAGAAATGCATTCACCTCTATCTGGCTCTCCCGAGGATAAATCACCCCCTTGGATTCCGCAATTGGGGTGGCCATGTGGCCCCCCTCACGCACAGTCACGACTGCTATTGTTTATGTATGCTTGCTCTGTTCGTTGTACATATCAAATACCCAAAACAAAGGTAAAAGTTTTTATTTTACCCAAATTTGATTACGTTTTTTATTCATTTTACGGTTGTTTTTTATGATACCGTATTTTACGGTCAATATTTACTAGAACAAACAAATACACCTTGATTCCAGGCCCATCTAAGACGCCATTCGATGCACTCCGAAATGTGTTATCTGAATCAATTTGGTCAACCCGAACCGAACTTGAATTGATTCAAGTGCGGTTCGATTTTACTCATGCCTGTCTCCCGCCGTGCTCTCCTCATTTCCCAATTGAGTTGACTTGTGTTCTTGCTGTCCCTCACTCAGTCCGTGCCCTCTCATCTCATCTCTTCACTTCTACCCCAACCCACACCACGCACATGCAGGTCTCTTTCAAACAACAATTTGACGGGTCCCATTCCTGATGGCATCTCCATGCTTGCTCAACTCACTTCTCTGTATGAAGCACCCTGTTTAAGCCTGTCGATAAGCACGAACATGACCAACAGTCACATCAAATTTAGAACCTTTCAGACACAATCGGCAGCCAATCCAGGCTGAATGTCCTGCATCTCCTTCTCCTGTCCTCCACTCCTAGGCTAGGGATGGGCGAAACTAGTGCCGGATGCTGGTCTTGTCCAGCCTGCATTGTTGGTCGGGCTGGCCTGAGGCTTTCGGGTTGAGCAACGGCCAACCTCTGGCCGTCACAGACCTGAATTCTTGCCAGGTTGGCTTGTGGCTTGTCCGACAGGTGACGAGCCCAGTAGGCTCATCTCGAGCCTAGGGTGGCCATGATTCTAAAAGAGGCTCACGTTGGCCACTTCCATTAACCTGCGAAACCTCCCAATCACTCCCTAGACGGACCTACCTATTCTGTAAAACTTCAGGCTGGTTGGTGGCGCTGAATCAATGGTGATGGATTGCGGTCAAATACCGTGGACATGAAGTAGTTTGTCTGGCTTTGATTGAGAACGCTTCCACAGTTAGAATGTCGTAAACGCGAAGAGCACGGACCGGGACGTCTTCCCTGGGGTACTGACCTGACTCGATCCGACCGGTACCCACTAGGGACGGGCCAACCTGATGCTCTTGTCTGAGTAGAATTCTGACCTGCCGAGAGGGCCAATTTGCAATTTTTTTTTTTTTGGCAAAATGCTTAGCAAAAAACTCGCCACTTTATCCTTTTCTTGCAGGTTTTTTTTCTGTATTGGAAAAAAGATGCCGTTTTTTCACGCAAATAAAAAATTATTTATGTTTTATACGGTTGTTTATTATGATGCCATATTTTTGTTACAAACTGTGAGATCTAGAAGGCTCTATGCCCTTCGATTAAATCACAAAAGATGGACTCCACGAGGTCACCTCTGAGGGTCTTTGGGTGCTAGGCAAGCCAGCCCCTACCCAAGGGTCCATGTTTGTAGAGAGTTCCACCAAGTGTAAGTTCGATCGAGAGCACTAGAGTATTCCTACAGTTATTCGCACAGCGTCACATCGATCGATTGGCTCATGTGCATATTAAACTCTTCACGTCAATACGTTGTAAGAGTAATATTCAGTCACAAAAGATTGTTCACAAACAAACGCAAGCACAAGTTTATATTAACCCACCAAAAGCGAAAGCTACCAGCCCACCAAAGTGACAACTAAAACCATATTTTGAATTGCCAACTTTCTCTATGCGGAACCAGTGGGACATACTCGCCCACGAACGTTTATGCAGGCCATACTTGTCCGCGAAGCCTCGTGGACGCTCGGTGGCGACCACTCGTGACAGCTTACGGAATCTCCTGAAGAAATGGCGCAGTTACGCGATGAAATTACTAAGTCACCGAAATCACTCCCGCACAATTCGCACCAGCTTCGAATGTAAATCGCGCGCTTCGCGAAACACCCCGTAGCGAAATTCCTCCCGGCTAATGAGGACAAACAGCTCGAGGGTCCCACAATTCAATTGTTGACCCACATGCCCTCGTCCTTTCCCACGCGCCACCTCACTGCCACACTCGCGCGTGTGGCGAGGAATTCTTTTGCGGCCTCAGGCCGCGCGTGTGCCTTGACTGGCACACTCCCCATGATTGCGCCTAAGGCGCAACAGTGCTCGGGCTCATGGCTTCGAGCCTTGACCACCTCGATAGGGAGAAACCCCTAAAACATCATAAACGAAAAAACGAAATTACAAACGAACTCATAAAAACAACTGAAAACGCAACTATTAAAATTCACCTACAAACCATGAACTCACACGAACGCTTCACAAACTCACTCATGAACATCCACAACACTTTCACGAAAACCCGTGACTCGCAGAACACATGAAATAACACGATCGCACACAAAATCTCGGAACTTACAAAATGACACGAACACTCACCTTCACTTATGGAAACTCATGAACACTCACAAATGCAACCCTTCACGAAAACGCTCATAACTCATGAATAGTCGAGGCGATTCACGAACCGTAAACGCCCAAACGTAAAGCTCAGAAATGCGCACCTCACACATAACAAATTACCTTCAAACAGAAAACTTCATTTACCTTCACCGACGGCGAATAGGCGGTAGGTTGACGTGCAAAACGCATATTGCACTCAACAATTTTACGGTCACAATTAGGGATGAGCATGGAAACGAACACGTTCGAGGCGAACCGAACAGGATTTTTTTTTGGCTAAAAATGTTCGGAGCGAACGTGTTCGGTGTTCGCCCGAACACGTTCGGTGATCGCCCCGCTACTGCTGCCGAGCCGCGTCGAACATGAACGCGTTCGTGTTCGTTTCGGGGCAAAAACGAACACGAATGTGTTCGACGCGACTGTCCCGGCGGGCTACAATTTACGTTGCGGGACATTCTGTTTGAGCTCAAATTTGAGCTCAAACTTAGTCGCGCTATTCAGCAGCAGCCATTACTACCACGCCCCCCACACATCACGCCGTTATCACCTCATTAGGACTTAGCGTAATTAAGTAGTTACCTTAGGTTAGTCTGTATAGACTTGGGTATGCGAGATTTAGGTTTTCGGGAAAAGATTAGACAGGGATATCGCAGAAGTTCGTAAGTTGAGGGTTGGGGGTAAGCATTCGCAAATTTCGTATGCATGGGATTGACAGGAATAGCGTTTGCATATTTCGTGAGTTGGGGGGTTGTGGGGGGTTGGCGAGCAATTGCAAATTTCGTAGATATAGAACGGGGAGAGCATTTCGCCTTACGTGGGGGGAAATCCAGGTGGCGAGCTGGATAAAAAAAACTATGGATCCGTAACTAAATCTCGCAAAATGCTGATCCAGCCTAGATATTTTCCCCCAGTTTCCCGCAATTCCCCTGCCCGCCGTTGCGTATTTTGAGCATAACAAAGGATGCCCAGGGGCGAACACGTTCGTGTTCGCCTTAGCATGCAAGATGTTCGCCCTACAGGCGAATTCGGTTCGCCGAACGGCAGTGTTCGAGCTGGGGCGAACGCGAACATGTTCGTGTTCGCCCCTTGCTCATCCCTAGTCACAATTTGACTAAAAAACTCTTCTTATTTTGCACCTTGTTCCCAGGCCCATGTTTGATGCCATTCGATGCACTCTGGACTGTGTTATTTAAAAAGTTTGGTCAATTCGAGTAACGTGAATTAACTCAATCTCAAGTTCGATTCAAATGTTACTCATGCCTGTCTCTCACCATGCTCTCCTCATCCGCCAATTAGGTTGAACTTGTGTGCCTCTAATCTCATCTCCTCACTTCTACCCCAACCCACACACACAGGTCTCTGTCGAACAACATCTTGGCGGGTTCGATTCCCAATGGCATCTCCATGCTTTCTTGGCTCACTTATCTGTATGAAGCATCTCGACAGCCAATCCAGGCTGAATGTCCTGCATCTCCTTCTCCTGTCCTCCACTCCTAGGCTAGGGATGAGCAAAACTAGTGCCGCATGCTGGTCTTGTCCAGCCTGCATTGTTGGTCGGGCTGGCCTGAGGCTTTCGGGTTGAGCAATGGCCGACCTTTGGCCGTCACAGAACTAGATTCTTGCCAGGTTGGCTTGGCTCGTCCGAGCCAAGTAGGCTCGTCATGAGCTAGGATAGCCATGTATTTACAATAGGCTCATGACCACTCCCTTGACGGACCTAGCTATTCCAATTTACTTCAAGTTGGTTGGTGGAACCAATGCTGATGGATTGCGGTCATATACTATGGAGTAGTTCGTTTGCCTCTAATTCAAAACGCTCCCACAGTTTCGGTGCACTGCATTTGAAAGCTCGCAGACTTGCAGGAGTTTGTGAAGTGGAATTCTGTCTTCTCCCACATCATTTTGCTCTTCATTTCCCACTCGCATAGCTCGTGTGCTGTGCGCCCATCCATGTGCCCTTTTCCATTCTTCTTTCAAAGACCATCCCAGTTCCTTGCGTTCCCTCATGCCACAACCTAAACTACGTTTCCCCAACTACTTACATTCCCCTCCACCCCCCACCCTCCCTGCTTCCAGCGAAGGCTGCTTGTTCTCCTCCGTGCTCCCAACAGTGCTCTCCACCTGATGGGATCTCGACCCATCGAACCCCCGTGGGCCGCCATGCCTGCTATACTCATCTCTTCTTTTTCTCATCCAATTCCCACAACACACAATGCACAGGGATCTCTCATCCAATTCCCTCAGTGGCAACATATTCAGTGACTTTGAATTGCTTGATCGCCTCAACTATCTGTACGTTGTTGTTTGGCCCTCCACAGTCTGTTTCAAAGAATTCTGAGAGCGTGATCAGCTAATGACTACAAACAGATCTAGATCTATCAACTCACTTCCATTAGCGCTTTGTGGCCCCTCCACACCCCAGTTGCCGTTCCTAAGCATTCTGGGACGACCTGTGACCAGTTCAGTGGTTTGCCAGCACCATGCATCTTCTCTCAGTAGTTGTTTCCCAGTCCCGTTGGACCAACCCGCCATACATGGTTCAATCATGTGTTGTTGCGTTGCTTCATGTAGATGGATGCACGGCGCTGCGTTGCTGTGTGCAGGAGGCTAGGCTAACTGAGATTTCTCCTGTACTTTTCATCCACCCCTTGTGACCAGAAACCTTTCTGATAATGATCTCAGCGGTGAGATTCCAGCTGAGATTGGAGGCTTCACTTTATTGAAGTACTTGTAAGTAGGCTTGAGCAAGTATGAAACCCGAACAAACCTTGTAAGAGGCTTGAGCAAGTATAAAAGCCAAACTGATCTTGTAATAGGCTGAGCAAGTGGGCTTGAGAAAGTGCCAGAACCGAACCGAACTTGTGAGTATGCTTGAGCAAGTACCAATCTGGAATAAACTTCTAAGTATGTTTGAGAAGATACTTAACTGGAACTGAACCCGTGAGTAGGCTTCAGCAAGTACCAAAGGTGTAAAAAAAAAAGTAAGCAGTGTGATATATACTTGACATGGGTGGGCCATAAAGAGCACTCTTGCAGGATTAGTAGAGTCTTGCAGCTTTTCGCAGCTTACAAAAAAGTGTACGTGCAGTTGTGCCCATGAGTTCCGCCTTTCCATTTCCCGTTTCCACTGCAGTGACGTCTCTGGCACCAACCTCGTATGCCCACCTGACTACTCCGCCTGTGGCACAACACAATCTCCCAACGCAGCCTTTTGTGGCACATGTCAATCCTTCTGCAAGACTTGCTACCAATCTGCAGGCAAGTAAATAAACATCAGCAAAGTACGGTCTCAAGAGTCAAAACTCGATGCATGGAGGAAGGCATTTCAGAGTACAGCAAGCAACGCGTGGCAAGGCATGGCAAAAGACAAGGCAACGCACGGACAAGGCATGTCAATGCATGGCACAAGGCATGGCACAAGGCATGGCACAAGGCATGAGCACAATGAACACAAGGCATGAGCACAAGGCATGAGCACAAGGCATGAGCACAAGGCATGAGCACAAGGCATGGCACAGAGCATGGGACAATGCATGGCACAAGACATGACACACACACAGCGCATGGCACAATGCATGGGCACAAGTCAAGGGACAAGGCGTTGCACAATGCATGGCACAAGCCATGGCACAACGCATGGCGCAATGCAAGGCACAAGGCATGGCAGAATGCATGGGCACAAGGCATGGGACAAGGCATGACACAATGCATGAGCACAAGGCATGAACACAAGGCATGAGCACAAGGCATGAGCACAAGGCATGGCACAAGGCATGGCACAAGGCATGAGCACAAGGCATGAACACAAGGCATGAGCACAAGGCATGAGCACAAGGCATGAGCACAAGGCATGGCACAGAGCATGGGACAATGCATGGCACAAGACATGACACACACACATCGCATGGCACAATGCATGGGCACAAGTCATGGGACAAGGCGTTGCACAATGCATGGCACAAGCCATGGCACAACGCATGGCGCAATGCATGGGCACAATGCATGGCACAAGGCATGGCAGAATGCATGGGCACAAGGCATGGGACAAGGCATGACACAATGCTTGCCCGAATTATTAAAAAGCACCTCACCTACTTTGGACAATAAGAGGGGTGTAGAGTTTTCTCGCATTGAGATCATGCAAAATTACGATCAATCTAGGCTCTCTTACCGCGGAGCATCACCCTTCTGATCGTTTTTTGCGCACTTGCCTGCTTGGCTGAACGTTTATTGCTCACACGTTATCACGCCCTCTTGATAACTCTTCTAGTTATAACCTTCATGCAATCCCCACTGCAACTCTTCCTCAGCAGGAGGTGCGGGTACAGTGTCATTGGGCGCCATCATTGGCATTGTTGTTGCCGCTATGGTCATTCTCCTACTTCTTGGTGCAACTCTGCTTTACTTCACACACAAGATCAAGCTGAAACCACAAGGTAGGGAGACAAAGCGACCAGAAGAGTTCATTCTGAATAACCAAACCCTGTCTTGTTTCAACCATGGCGATAAGTGAGGAGCAAGTTCTCCATTGCATGAACTTAGACATCTGCATGCAAGTCTGCAAGACTAATCATGCTCGACTCGACAAAATCCAGCAGCCGAAACCGAGCTCTCAAATCTCTTGCCATGAAATGAGTGAGATCGACTCCCCACTAACAGCGTGGCTTGGCGCACGCATTCACTTCAATCCCCAGCGTACAGGCCTGTATGCATGGCCACACAGCTCTGGAACTTAAGTGGCACAAGGTGTTGAGGCAGTAGATGGTCTAAATCTCAGTTTCCAGGTTTTGGAGCTGCAAAGATTCGTAGAGGCTCTGTGTAGAATATCCCGTGAACTGATTGGCACGCCGCAAATCAATTCCCTAGAATGTTGGGCCAAGTCATGGGACTCGACTCGTCACATGATTCGACTGAGGCCGGCCGAACTCGACCTGACTCGACTCCACTCAACTCGTGCCCAGGCATTTTCCCCTGCACCCATGCACCTCCTTTCACATATGACCCCACGAGCAGGCTCGGGGAGCAGCCTGGCATCCTCGCACTGCACCGAATTCTCACTAGCAGAAGTCCTCAAGGCCACCAATGACTGGTCCGAGGACAACCAGCTGGGCTCGGGTGCCTTTGGCGATGTGTACAAGGGTGTGTCTCCCCGCGATGGCATTACCATGTGGGCTGTCAAGCGCGCCAAGCTGATCGACGTGGACTTTCAGAAAGAGGTCAGTGAGTGAGCTGCACATGTGAAGGTTGCAAATTTTATTGCACTGGTATGTTTTGTCAGTGAGCCATGGTGAACCATGGTGAGCCGTGATAAGATGGCATGTGTCAGTGACATCATTTTCAATCCCACGTCAAGATTTATATGCTCTATTGAAATGTTACATTGCCATGATGTCTTTTGCTGTTCAACTAATTATAGATCGTGTCTTCAATGCTGGTAAATTTAGGACATTCCCTTGGCTGCTTCCCATTTGTTCTGTCATCCCTGATCATATTTGTTTCTTTTCCTCTGGCTGTGTGGATCAGATCCAGCAGATGGCCGACAAGAACCATCCCAACATTGTGAAGCTCCTTGGATTTGCGATCGGAGGAGACTTGAGGACTCGGCCAGAGCAAGTTCTGATCTATGAATATGTGCCCAATGGCGACCTTAACAGATGGATTGGTCCAAGTATGCGTGATACTCCTCCAGCGTGTTTTTTGCTGTGCCACGCAGATGGCGTGCTGTGCCGCGCAGATGTTGTGTCATAAATATGCCGTGCAATTATATGATGTGCCACTTATGCTGCACATCCTTGCAGAGGCAACCTGTGCTTTGTCATTCATGCTCTGCCACTCACGCTTTACCACCCATCCTCTACCACCCTTCCTCTATCACTCATCCTCTACACATCCTCTGCCACTTGTCTGCTGCCACTCGTCCCCTGTCATTCATCCTCTGCAATTCATCCTCTGCCACTCATGCTGTGCCAATCATATGCTGTGCCAATCATATGCTGTGCCATTATATGTTGTGCCAATCATATGCTGTGCCATTCGTCCTTTACCATTCATCCTTTTCCACTCATCCCCTGCCACGTGTTTCTTGCAGAGGCATCATGCCCTCTGACTCTGAAGCAGCGGCTGGACATTCTCATCGGCTTGGCACGGGGCTTCGAATACCTCCACGGCTTTGGCATCGTGCATCGCGACATCAAGCCTGCCAACGTCCTCATCACCAACAGCATGCAGGCAAGCTTGGTCGTCGTAGTGGATCCTGTCTAGTGAAGATGATATATACATACATATACATATATATATATATATAAGTTTGAACGAGGGGTCATTGGCACAACACTACACCAACTATGGCTGGAATGTCTTTCAACTTCATATATCGTTTCTCACAGCAACCATTTACTCAGCCCACTCACAAACCCTTTTACTTACATTTCATGCTCTTTTGTGGATGGCATCACAAGCGACCAGAGTTCTCACTGAGTGATTAATTCCTCATGCTACAATGCCGTCACCAGGTGAAGATTGCCGACTTTGGTCTGCTGAGGATGGGGGAGGGCACAACCGTGGGCACAACGCGCATCATGGGCACACCGGGCTATGTGGATCCGGTCTACTCCATCACGTCCAAGGCCACTGCAGCCAGCGATGTGTACAGGTGAGGCAGTGATGTGTACAGGTGGGCCAGTGAGGTGTAGAGGTGATCATTGCAAAGGCCCTATGGGGATCCAGTCTACTCCAAGGCACCGCTGCCAGCGATGTGTGCAGGTGGGCCAGTGAGGTGTAGAGGTGATCATTGCAAAGGCCCTATGGGGATCCAGTCTACTCCAAGGCACCGCTGCCAGCGATGTGTGCAGGTGGGCCAGTGAGGTGTAGAGGTGATCATTGCAAAGGCCCTATGGGGATCCAGTCTACTCCAAGGCACCGCTGCCAGCGATGTGTGCAGGTGGGCCAGTGAGGTGTACATGTGAAGCAGTGATGCGTACAAAAGTCCTTGCTGGAAGTGCATAGTATTCAGTAAAGGAGAAACTAGAAATGCATTGTAGTAGGAGTCAGCACCCAATAAGACCCGCCCCAAATCTTATGTGTGTGTGATATATGGACCTGTACATGTTGCGGTCAGGAAATAAAACTTATCTGAAAAGCATGTGCCTCTCCCCTCTTCTCTTCCTCTGCCATCTTGTGCCCTGAACATTCTGTGCCTTTGAACATGTCCGCTTTTTTTTCAGCTTTGGAGTGCTCATGTTGGTGGTCCTCACGGGACGAGAGCCAATCTCAGAAACTGCTGGAGAGAGCTGGAAGATCACTCCGTGGGTAAGTGCTTATCCCATGGGACCACCGCATATGCAATTACCTCAACCCATGAAACCACCTTCCGCCACTACCACATGTGTGGTTGTGGTACTTCCTTTCTTTCCTCGTCCATTTTACACTAGTGGTCCTCACAGGGACGTCAGATCACTCTGTGGGTGAGCACCACTTGCCGGTACTTCCAAAGACTCAAATAGCATATTCTCCAAAGGAAATATTTCCAGCTTCTTGAATACCATATATGTCCCCTCCCAATCCCTCCACCTGCTCCACCTTTCAACACTCCCTCCACACCCTGCAAACCCTCCACCCTCTCCAAACTCTCCACCTTCTCCCACCCTCAATCTTCTCAACCCCCTCAGGTGGCGGAGTGCCTGTCCAAGAATGACGTGGGGAGCCTCATGGACCCCACCATGGACGCCCCTGCTGAAGCTGTGCTGCGAGTGGCTCAGATCTCCCTCGCCTGCACTGGAGAGCGCACTGCAGACCGCCCAAGCATGCTGCAGGTTGCCAACGAGCTGCAGGCCATTCGCGAGGCAGTGGGGGGGAAAGAGGTGCTGTGTGCTGCAGTCAAGGTGGATGCGCAGGTGCAGGAGATGAAGGATGTTGTCGCCGGTGTCGCAAGCCTCGACACGGAAATTATGAAGATTGGAGAGCAGGCCTCAGGATAACAGGATGATTCACATTTATAAGACGTGGTCTGAGCTGTGAATAATGGGTGTTTCGCCTTTATGACACTCACTATATGGGTCTGTGCCCTTACAAGAGTGTGAATAATCTCTAAGCTGCCTCATAATTGTAGAGGGTGATGATGCACCTCCATATGGGAAAAACGTCAGTCCAATGTGAGTGTGTGCTGCAACGAGTTAGGCGAAATAAAACGAAAAGAGATCATACTATCAAATGCTGATGTGCAAATTTCTTACTGATGGAGCAACTGATGTGTGTGTGTGTATGTGTGTGTGTATGTGTGTGTGTGTGTGTATGTGTGTGTGTGTGTGTGTGTGTCAGGAGTACGACACAATACAAGATTGTTAAGACATATAGACTTTTAGAGCACCTTTGATGTTATGTGTTTTCTAGTCAACTTCCATTCTTTCTACAGGCTTGTTACATGAACCTTTTATTTTGCTTACATAAGCACTTGCAAAACATAGCTAGTGTGAAACATGTGCGCGTTTCAAAACTCAGCTCTCGTCGAGTCTAAAGACCCATACAGCAGACACCAAGCTTAGGACCCGCAAAATCTGAAGCTTTCGTTTAGGTCGTGTAATGCTCAATGCGACGGTTGGGTGAGGAAGTCATGCCGCGAGTGCACTGGAAACGCAGCAGGTGCCCCAATCTGAGCAAAGAGTTTGCAGTGTGTGCAGGATCGTGCCAACTTGGTGTGGCCCAACGCCCTGCTGTCCAGCCCGAACCTGAGAGGGGAGTGGGGAGAGGTGGGGAAAAGGAGAGACAGTGACAGGGAGAAGGTGACAGGGGCAGAAGGTGACAGGAAGAAGGTGACAGGGAGAAGGGGACAGGGGCAAAAGGTGACAGGGAGAAGGTGACAGGGAGAAGGTGACAGGGAGAAGGGGACAGGGAGAAGGGGACAGGGAGAAGGTGACAGGTAGAAGGTGACAGGGAGAAGGTGACAGGGAGAAGGTGACAGGGAGGAGGTGACAGGGAGAAGGTGACAGGGAGAAGGTGACAGGGAGGAGGTGACAGGGAGAAGGTGACAGGGAGAAGGTGACAGGGGCAGAAGGTGACTAGGCAAGAATCAGCGTGATACATGTGTTCCCCTGCACCCTGCTGTCCAGCCCACACCGGGGGGGTGGGAGGGAGCAGGAGAGGCAGGTCATGAGGGAAAAACATGCTTTCCAGCCATGCCTAGGCATGCCAATGGCGACCGATCTCACATGTGAAGCATGAAGCCAGACGTTGGTTCTCAGATTCTGCCACAAGGAGATGGTATCTCAGGAAGCATGCAATTGACAGCTGAGCTTTCTCCTTCTGCATCCCAAAATTCGCTCAGCCGAAATCACTTTGAGAATGATGGTGACCCCAGAGTCACCCTCACAAGGAGACCCACAAGTTCACTCTAAAGTTACCTACAGCTTACCCCAGACGGTGGCGACGTCAGCGACAACCGCCAACCGTAGCGCCCAACGTGGTAACAGAACATTCGACCAATCGAATCGGTTTACGGTTTGGGAGAGTACCCCGAGGTTACCCCAACCAACTTCGGCGGGAAAGTTTATGGCCCTGCCTATTTTGTCACTACTTTGAATCTGCCAAGGCAGCCACGCACGGGAATGGTGGGTAAGCCTTTTACTGTACACTTTGTTTCTCAACATGTCGAATTGACAAATAACGATTGTGTCTTCTCCGATTCTGGGTTTACTATCACATCGTTCAACATATGGTAGTTCCAGTGATGGGTTGGGTTACGTGGCACAATCTAGTTCACCAACCAATCGGAGCTCTTCGACAACACCTTCTACTGCCTCTTCTCTCCCAGCACCTTTCAAGTACTTATCCTCATCCATCCTGTTTCTCACTCGTCATTCCTTATGTCGTTTTCAGCTCATGATACTCACGTAGAGCAGTTACAACGAGAGCTCCACGCTGCTTACTTGAACAAGTAGCAGGTTGTCTCGATTAACTATGATGAGCTTCTAATGGTGGTTAGGTTTTGCTTACACATTTAGGAAATAGGCTCCTTCCCCTTTCTACTAGCGATGTCATAGTATTTTAGATGTTGCCGCTGTTTCAATGACTTGCATCTAATCTATCGTAGTTCACGATCGTATCTTCATGGCAGATTATCGAACACGGGAGTGATGCATGATCTTCCCAAGGTCTACGCGTATCGACCTAAGAATTGGCGCTCGTCGTAAGGTGAGTTGAAATGCTGTACGATGGGGTTTCAGGATGAGCGTCACTCATTCCGCTTGCTTCATGGCATCACTATGTTTTCTATTGCCGCCGTTTTATTTGTCGGCATCCAGGTTTCTCTCATGCCTTCTCGCCATCACACGATTTGTTTCCTTGCAATTCGTTGCCTTCACCGCAAGGTTTTGCAGATGGCGTATCACCAAGACATTAGCTTCCTATCTGGAAAGACTTCTTTTCTCGTGAGCATTCGGTGCATAATAGACACCAGCGGCATGACAACGTTGTTTCCCAATCCATCCGGGTCCTCTATATGTTTCCTCGTGCACTAATATTTCTCCTGTTCTCAATACTCATTCCTCACTCTTACCCCACCCCCCCCCTTGCTGAATGTCGCCACTCTATGCAGAATACGGAAGGCGATTTTGTCATGCTTTGTCATGTATTCGTGAGGTAAGAACCTGCTATGTCGTTTGTTCCTGCTATCTCGTTTGTTATTGTATGCTGTAGGAGAACAACATAATGCATTGGGTAGTGAGGTTTGTGCAGGAGCTTTCCTTAGTGAGTATTATAGTGTCTACAACATGCTGCATGTAGGGTGCATGCTAGAAAGTGGCCAATTAGTAACATTGTTGTTCGTAATGTTGTATATGAAATGTGCAGATCAAAATGTGCAAAGCGCTAATCACTGAAGCCAGTCACAAAATGAAAAAATAATATGTGAATTTGTCAAATCTCATTTATGGTGGAATTCATTGTTGCGAAACTATACTAAGCAATATTAATTTTTGTTTTTAACAAAAGTAGTTGTGGCTATATCAGATTTTTGTTTTCTTTTTAACGCTAATTTGTTCGCCAATAAACTGTAGGTAGTCGTTCACGTACTGTTTGCAAAATTCTGTAATGTTGGCGATGTATAGCATAGTGCGAAAGCGACTCGCGTGTGATTTGCTCCCGCATGATGGGAGGGGTCTCCAATGGGTGACCTCGGGGTCACCACGGGAGGTGATTGTGGTCGAGGTTACCCGCGGGTCACCTAGACTGGGACCACGGGGTATCCCGCCACAGGGTAAGCCGTGGGTAACCTGAGGGGGGGGGGGGGGGGGGGGTTCGGCCCAAACGTTTTTGGGATGTGGCACAAGCAGATGGTAGTCTGCCATGCAAGCAGAAGAGGCAGCAGCACAGTGCATCAGCAGGACTGCAGCAGCAGCAGCAGCAGCAGTAGAAATAGTAGTAGCAGAAGTGAGCGACAGCAGGCGTGGGCGACTGCAGTGGGCCGACCCGAGGTTGGATCGGGTTAGGAATCCTGCCCCACTGCACGCCCCTCCCCCCACTGAATGCATCTGCCCCTGGCCAACCGTCCCTGTGCGATGGCGGGTGCAGTGCGGGCACAACATTCGAGAAAAATGACGCTGTTTTGACACTCGGACAGGCAGGTGACAAAAAGCCTGGGCAGGCAAAAAAACCTAGAAATCTAGTAGGTAGTGCAGAATTTTATGCGCAAAAATGGGAGCACAAATTGTTGAAACCGTTTTTCATAGCCCACCCCATTCCACGAATTTGCCTAAGAAACTTGTTTCCAACAATTTTCTTCCTTGCCACCAAATTCACCGCTTATGACCTAGAAAACCCAACCAATTTCAATCATGGAAAAAAGATATTGGAGGTCAAGACCAGATCTAGATCTGATTGACCTCCTACATCTCTTATCCAGCGATCTCGTACCCGGCACTGTAATCCAACAGCGAAACTACTCTAGCTGTGCTTGCTACATATGATTTCAGCTTATTCAATACTAGCAGAAGGTATAGATTCCTGATAGCAGGAGTTGATGTCACGCCAGCCGTGTGGCGTCGTCGAGCACTCTTGTGCCCCCAAGGTCTCCTCCATGCCTCTAGCTTCTCTGGAGGTGGGCACCATGGTCTACTTGGGCTGCCAGGGTAGCAATAACTTAGGTGTGTGATAAGTTGGCTACTAATCTGAAGGTAATCTAAGGGGCTGTCCGTGCTCCCCCCACCATGCGGAGAGTCACTCTACACTGGGTGCTGGACTATGGTTCCTTGTATTCCCTAACACTTGTGTGTTCACAAGGCAAAAGAGCAAGAGTTTCACAAAAACAATCGGAGAACATTGATGCAAATGGAATTGGCAACAATAACTAGATCAGGGACCTAACAAGCCTAGCAGACAAGCAGGTCGACCTCCAGCGCAGAACAGAGGCGGCTTGCCAGCGCGGCAAATCGATGGCGTGCCAACGCAGCTGGAAGGCGGCTTGCCAACACATCAAGTCGTTGACATGCCAGCGCTGCACTACGGCAGCTTGTCAGCATTGCAACCGCAGATGTCTATAGCGCACGTGCACGCACCTACTTTCCAGATGCAGATAGACAGTTGAGCACGTCGTACACCATCACGCACATTGCGCAAGTGCCAGGTCGGTCACGTGCCGACCGTGTCAGAATCTAATGAGCAGGAATGATTGCATTGAGTAAGAAAGTGATACAAGTACTAACCCTAATTGGGTTGTACCCCATATAGGCTACCCCACTACAGCCTACACAACACAGAACATAACAGTTTGACACACCCCCATAGGCAAAGTGGGGGAGAACAAGGGGTCACAAGACCAGTCAAGAAAAGCAAAGCAAGCTCAGCGTGGATCACAAAGTCACCACACACTCTGAGCACAAGCAAATGGCCACAAGGCCAGTTCACATGCAGAGTTATATAAATAGGAACAAGTAGTACAGTGATCACAACCTAGCAAGTGTAAGCATGCAGGTACAAGTATATAGAT